TATATAGAATACATAATATATTAAAAATGTATACTTTAATTCTACTGCCTTCATCCATTGCTAGCAATAATGTACTGCCAGTTATGTGTATAGTCAATGAAAAAGATTGCTAGAATCTGTATTTAGAGAAGCGTTTGTGCATTATAGCACTTTGCAGTGTTCACTTTGGTAGTATTGTGATGGGACAAGGAACACAAAATGATCTGGAGCACCAAGGTGTCTGCTCTAAAGAGGGTTCTTGAATGCCCTCTTTTACTTTTTGATGGTATTTAGCTGTGCAAGCATGCTGTCAAATGAAATCCATGACACTGAATTTTCTTTTGAGTACACTTGTTCCAGTTTTATCCAGAAATGTCTTTTCCTAATAGGAATGTAAATAGCTTTAACAATTGCAATTGCTTAATAAATGCCCATGCTTACAGGGTGCGTTTGATCATCGAATGAAATGCTGGCAGAAATGGCAAGATGCTCAGGTCACTTTACAAAAAAAACATGAAGCTGAAGCAAAGCTCCAACTTGCCAACAGACCTGATAAACTGCAGCAAGCTAAAGATGGTATAAAAGAGGTAATGTTGTCAAGTATTTATATTATTCTGGAGGCCAGACTTTTTGTACTGATTCATTTAGTCCCCATTAATGCACTATTATATACAATTTTTGTTTATAAATCACATATTTGCTATTTTCCATATCTACTGAAACTATTAAAATGAATTTATTTAAAATATGAGATGTGCACAGTTATTACCCATTCTGAGATATGTAAGGCAGTTGAATACTGTCTCTGCAGAGTCTGGGAGATGGGAGGAGGGGAACATGAACAAGTTTAAAAATACTTTTAACTGTTGCAGATGACTTGGGTAGTCAGAAGAACATCTCTTGGCTTCCAGAGCTAAAAAGACTAATGGAGAACTGTTCTCATGTTTTGCTTAATGATCCAGCATATCTTCTTATATTTTTTTTAAATATATATACACATATATTATAATTTCAGTAAAAATCTAACATGTTGAAGTTACATGAATTATATACTTTTTCTAACATGCTTCACTAAGGAAATTGAAGAGGTATGACAGCTTAATTATTTAACATTAATGCATTCTAGTTATGCATCACTATTTTCTCATGAAATAATGGAGAATATCATTGCAGTTTGCAATTTCTTATGCACTTTATTTTGTTTGTCTGCCTCATTGGTCACTAACCCAAGCTGCTTTGTTTTTTCTGCACTTCAATATATTTTATGTACAGTGTTGAAGTTGCTTATTAACGTGGCTTTCTTTTTTTTCTTTAAAAAGGCCCTTGTTGACTGGGAATAAAAGTGTCACTCTTTTGTGACCACATTCTTGCTGGTTGGCTCTCTTGATGTCATCCATCCACCATGCAAGAAGTGAGCTGGAACTCATTGGCAAAACTAATTCCTGAGTGTTTGGAGTAGTAGGAAATACTCAATGACCCTTTCTCACTTTTAATATAAAAAGAATTAATTATGTTGTTCCTGAAGGATTTCTTTTTCCTACTTTATCATGTGTTTAGAGAAGGTCGTTAGTAAACCCAGAATTTGAATATGCTGACAGAAAATTACTGTGTCCACTGAAATATATTCAGAGTTGCTGAATTCTTTAATAGTAGTCCTTTTGGCTGAGATAATGAAAAGTGGAAGCCTATGCAGCTTGAGCTTCATCTGTGACCTCAGTTCCTTTGTGCAGATAAAAAGTAAAAGAGTAGTCCTTAAAACCCCAAATTAAACAAGGGGATTTTTCCTTGTTAGAAACTGTTAAGATGGGAAACTTATCCAGTGATAATTCCTACAAACCCTGGTGTTTGGATATGATAAAACTGGGATGTGGGCCCATAGGCCTATAGAGGCTTTCTCTGAAGTCTCGGGTACCTCTAAGTTGCTGTAATAGGAAGGCACAAGTTATTTCAGAGGAGTCTTAATCTCTCTTTTCCTGGAATGACTTTTATATTGTTTTTGTTATTAGCTAACTCTCTAGGCTGTGCACATATTAGTGTTTCCCTGAAGCACATCCTGTTATGACTTATTGCATAGCTCCTTAAGTGTACATCTGAAAAGACAATAAGGGAACATTGAATAAATACAGACTAAAAACACAAATAGCTCAAGATATTTATTTGAATAGATGTTCATTACATAACACAACAGTAAGATGACACTGCACCACAAAATGCTCTTGTGATTAAATAGCACCACTAGATTGCTAGCAGGAATATACTATATTGGTGTATGTTGCTTCCTGGCTGCTTTTATCTGAGGAAGATGACTGTTACCAGATCTATTAGCTCCCATAATTCAGTTAGTATGTTGAGATTAACAGATGCATGCATATGTCTGAAGTGTCAGGATGATAGCTTTTTTCATAATATACTTACACAGATGGTTTAAATTTAGCAATATAATAGTTGCATAAAAGCAGGTGCAAAGGAAAGTCTAGTAATGATAAAGTAATATAGCTGGTAATGCTTTCTTAATTGTGTAGCTGGATGTCTTTTGACATAAAATAAGGATAAACATGACCAAGTGTTTTGTAGTATTGATATTAATGCCTTCTTCCCAGTATGGCAAAACCCTACACTTCATCTGAATTTTCCTTCTGTGCTCTTGCATTTTTTTTTTATTCCT